TGAACTATATGCACTTGAGCTCTTCTTTCCCAAGAAGATTTTTGAGGAAACATTCATTTTGTTTTTCCTGCTAATGCACTTGTCATTTAAGCTGTAACACTTTAATCCAATCCTGTCATGATTAAGTAGTTGTGCAATAGATTTTTCAGTAATCATGACTGGCATTTCGACAATATTTGTTGTGATATGTTGTCTTGATTCATTTTCCTAAACCCAGAACTGTTTTACTAAATCAGGAAAGGTAGGATCTTTTATAATTTCAAAGAAGGTTTCTCATCCTTGAAAGGAAACATCTAAAAAGAGATCATAACCATTTTTCTTGAGATTTTCGAAGTTCACTACAGATTCAGATAAGACCAGTAACGAAGATGTAGGAATGGAACATTTAAGTTCAGGAAAGTTGGTACCCATTTGATCTGGATGAGATGATGAGCCAGCAATTGATTTTGGAGAAGACATTTTTGAAGATGAACATATTCTAACGCGAGCGGAGATTTTTTGGGTTTTGAGGATTTGGGGCTAAGACTAGCGAAAGTGTAGGGAGTGGAGTGAGTGAATTTTAAATAGATTTTGCAATTATTATTAGTCTATGAGTGGTTCTAGAATCTGACAAGGGGTAAGGTATAAAGATGTTTCTTATATTCTCAAGACTATCTTTACTTCTCATGTGTCACTTCAAACGTCAGGAGTGGTTCAAAAAGACAACTATCTTTAAAAATGAAACAAAAAATTTTCACTATTCTGACAGTGCATTTAATGCATTAACCTTTTTAGTTTTCAAGAAACAAAATAGATTTTAAACTAGGATGGTTTCTACTTTGATTATTCCTAAATATTTTAAGGCGTTATTTTAACAGAAAATCTTCTATGTTAGAACAATCAAATTTTTAGGGAATTTGTTCTTCATTTTGACTAATATTAAAAAGAATTAACTTATGGCTAATGAGAGTAAAATAAATACTTTGTAAGAAATCAAGTAAATTATATCCTGGTAAGTCTTGTTCTATGAAGAGTTCACCTTCATCATTGAGCTTGTTTATGAACATCCCTTCTATTGTATTCTTCTTATATCTCCATATTCCATTATTTATGTTGAGATGCTTCTTCAATTGAAGCATGTGTCATCACGAACACTAAACCCACAAATATTTCTTCAGAAAGTGAAGTCTTCACTTAATCCTCTTCGTATGCATTTGAACATCAGAAGCTTCTGGAAGAGCATCTTCTGATTCTTTCACTTCTTGAGCTTTTAGCATAATCTCCGTTATATTCAGATTCTAAAAGACGGTTTTCTACAGGTGTAGTTTTCTTGAATAGCTTTGATCTTCATATGCACACTCCAAAGCATTCTTTTTGAAGGGCTGGCTTGATACTCCTTGACTTGCTGGATACCAATTGCTGATCTGAGACGCTTTCTTCAGAAGGTATAACTTCTGATATTCTCTCAAACCTATTTATACTTATGAGAGAACTATTAATCTTTTTATAGTACTTGACAGATCCTCTTGGGATGACGTTGATTTGATCCTTTACAGCTTGCAGCGGTTTGTCATTTGGATGAGAGCTTCAGTTGATAAGTTTAAGTACTGATTGTTGACCTTTGCTTCTGATGGAGAACTTATGTTGTTTGAGAAGATGAATTCCCTTTCCATCATGTACTGGAGCCTTCAGAATCTTGAGAACTTGTTTCAGAGATTCTGTCTTCATATTTCTAATTCTTGCCCATAGTTTTAAATCCTCTACAGAATGAGTTTTGAATCAGAAAAGCTTTCTATCATTTAAGTAGCAGGCAACTATAGAATTTTCTCTTACTGGATCTCCCTACACGGTTAAGTGTTTGATTCTCGAATCAATAACAGAACCGGGCTTTGATACCAATTGAAGGTAGATAAAACACAAGAAAGGTGGGTTTGAATTGAGTTTATAGAAAACATTCCCCTTTAGAAACTCTAAGCACTCAAATGATAATAGCGATAAAGACAATGAAGAATAAAGAACACTAGTAATTTATCTAGGTTCACCTTAAATAAGGTTAATCCTATCCACCCCCTTAAGGATGATTTCACCTTCAACAAGGACTTAATCCACTATAACCGAACTGATTACAAATGCACGGGCAACATCTGGTGACTAACATACAATGACACGTTCATTGATTCAACCGGATATAACGTTCATTGACCCAATAGAATCAGATCCTTCAATATCATCTACCAGGATTTCACAATGACCAGCAGCCATTGTCATCTTGAGATCAAGCCTTCACTCAGTCACTCAAGGAACTTTCCAATGATATGTTCAGTAATCTGATTTAACGAATATAACAATCATTGACCCAATAGAATCAGATCCCTCAAGATCATCTACCAGGATTTTACAATGACCAGCGACCACTGTCTTCTTGAGATCATACATTCACTCAGCATATCAAGGAACCTTTCAATGATATGTTCAGTGATCTGATTTAACAAATATAATAATCATTGACCCAATAGAATCATATCCCTCAAGATCGTCTATCAGGATTTTCCATAATGACCAACAACCACTGTCTTCTTGAGATCGGGCATTCACTCATTCTCTCAAGGAATCAATCAATAACAGTTGATAAGGTTTCCGTGTTTACATTTTTGCTTCTTCTAAGAAGATTACACAAAAGTTTTAAGCATATATTGTTTAACACCTTATCGAGCAACAACTCTAGTGTTAAAACAATTTACATGAAGAGATTTGAATTGTAACACAATCCGAGCAACAACTCTTGTATTCATTACAATGTTCTATCAAGATATATTTGATTAGCAGTTGAGTAGCATCTTGTAGTGTTCTTCTTCTTCATTGAGAAAGCTTCGAGCAATAACTCTTACTTCTTCTAATTCATCCAAGATGTATATGATGATTGGTTGAATGACATCTTGTTGAAATCCTCTTTCTCTTCTTCTTTCTTTTATCTCTTCTATGGTGGCCTTTAGAATGGTTAGCATTGCAGTTTTGACATCTTTAGCATCCACAACATTTTAGTTGGATGGCCAACGACAGATTTTTCTTTGAATCTCTGATATTCTTTTATAACCTCGGAAGAGAGAGACGTTGTGAGGATAGAAAAGACTTTTCCTGCATCGATGGTTAGTTCCCAACAGATATAATAAGGTGTAAGAGTTTAGACAGTATAAAATAATATTTTTTGTATCCTTTCACTGTTCAATGATAACTTTCCATATTTTCTCTGAATAATATTTTTCTAATAAGCTTGTAAACAGAGATTTGTTAAGTAAAGAATGATAGCTGGAAATCCAGCCGTTTGTTCCCAACGGTCACAATGAGAGTGGTTGACAATACAGTACAAAGGATTGTCCTTACGCCACCCTAGAAGGTAGAAGCAACAGACACTTTATGTACCTTTTGTACACCATCACACGTTAACCATTTGAACTTTCTTCTTATCTTCAGAGGCTTCAGATAATTTTAATGTTGAAACTTGTTGTAGAAGAATCACTCTTAAGTCTTAGAACCTAAGTCTTGGAGTCTTCAGAACTTGTCCTATCAGAACCTTATCTTCAGCGTCTTCAGCACTTGGTCGTAAGAACTTGCTTTTCTTCAGATCATCAAAACTTGTTCAGCAGAACCTCGTCTTCATAATCTTCAGAACTTGTAACACACAAAAGCAAAGCTTTAGAAGACCTCCAAAGTTTAACCATAAAGTCACAATCAGAACCTCTTGTACTAACGTTCCTTAGACACATTGCAGAAGATGAATTCAGAATCTTGACTTCAACCGTAACACGTAACCACATGTTTTCTTCCAGTAGTGTATATTCAGAACCTGATGACGTCACACGCCTTAATACCAGATTCAAAATATTATAGCAGCAACTACACACTAGAACAAAACTATTAGTGTATACAATTGTTCTCTAAGATAACATATAAAGTTATCATCAAAATCTTAAGACCAGATGTAGAAACACTTCTTGTTCTTACATCAATATAAACGACTAGTAGAACTATTGTGAATAATACCTGAGGTGGACTCAACAAGTGGATGCCTGTGAGCAATGGATGAGGTTGAGACTTGATTGACGATCGGAGCTTAAACTAAGTTAGCTAAGTTTGCTTGTTGGAGCAAATTGACAAGTTGATCATATTGAGTTTAAGACCTAGGATTATTGTTTCTTACAAAAGAAGCCAACTTTGTTAAAGTTGGGATAATCATGCTTTTGGTAACATAAATCTATGGTATGTCCCATGCGATGACAAAAAGTGCAAACTCTATTAGAATTCTTCAAATTGAAATTATGATTTGTGCGACATTAGCTAAAACTGAAACATCTTCAATATACATCAAATTCTTATGATTGCTCTCTTTCTGAATAACAAGTGAATAAACATAATTGGTGAATGGTAAAGGATCCATGAGCATAACTTGAGTTTTCACAACACAAAACATATCAACCTGTCAAAAATTGAATGACTTTATCTTCAAGTTTGTAGCTTTTAGGAAGATGTAAAGCAACACAATGGCATTATTAAGTACATGTGCATATTGGCAAAGGCATATGTGATTTTAGTTCCTCCCATAAAACTTCCAGTTATTAAGCAAAAGTAATTTTTAAAGAAGAGTGGATTTTCTTAGATAGCATCAATTATGCTTAATCATGGTATTGATGACTTCGGTAACTTAAAGTCTAATTTTTTATCACTTTGCCTCATGTATACTACAATCAGTCTTCAACCTGTTTCAAAATCATAAGAAAATCACTCAGTGCTCTTTTCCCTTCCTTCAAGCTTTATCATGTCTTTTTCATATATTCTACCCATTGTTCTTTCTCATTATTACACACCACTATGACACTATAGTCACACTACTTTTATTTATTTACATATCTACTTCCTTGCAGAAGAAGATATCTGAATTTATATATAATCAAGATTATACAGAAATAGCAGACAAACGGGAGACACGACATTTGAGGTTTATTATATAGTGTGCATCGAAATTCATGGATTTAAGAGATTCATGGACTGTCTTCTTTCTGTTTTGTAGCTTCTTGGTTGTTGCTTTCTGTGGACAAGATGGTATGTCATTTAAGTGCTTATGTGATAAAGGACTAGTTGGTGTAGCTTCATGCTTATTATATAAGTGCTTATGTATTGACTTTATAGTAGTTTTTATTACCATTTCTTATAGAATTTTATGAAACAGGTTTCTTGAGTCTATCATGTGGTGGAACAACAAGCTTCAATGATTCATCAAACATTTCATGGCACTCAGACACTCCTTACATAACCAATGGAAAAACAACCACCATCAATTACTGCGATGGTTCCTCGTCATCAAATGTCTCGGCTCGATTCTTCCCTCATTCCAGAGGTCACGCATGCTATCGGATACCAGTGAACAATGCAACTAGTTTGATTCTTGTTAGAGCGAAATTTGTATACAAAAACTACGATGGACTTGAAAAACCGCCTATTTTCTATGTTTCTCTTGGGACAGCTATTGCTGCTAAGATAAATTTGGCCAAAAATGATCCATGGATAGAAGAGTTTCTCTGGGAAGTTAATAAGGATACATTGGTTTTCTGTTTGAATCCGATTCCAAGTGGTGGTTCTCCTGTAATTTCTTTACTCGAAATTAGGCCTCTTCCTAAAGGATCTTACACAAAGGGTAAAGAAGATTTCTCGAATAAATTACTTCGGATGAGTTATAGAATTGATTGTGGACACATCAATGAGTCTATAAGGTAAGAATCATAGCATTGCTTTTTAATTATATACTCTCTTTTTTTTGCGATAAATAGTCATGGTTATCACTATCTTACTATGCATGCGAGTCATATCTCAGTTTGAGACAAAACCGAACTCAATCATATTTTTATTGGTAATGTACCTTATGATTCATAGGATTCAATTGACGATTCAGAAAATAACTCGTCTTGTTCACGATTTGAATCTTGATTTGATAACTATGGTTTATCTTTTAAAAAAACAGGTACCCTATCGATCCATATGATAGAATATGGAATGGTGATAGAAGTTTCATACCTTTTCATGATACAAGAGGGTTTAAGATTCATAATAGCTTCAATCAATCCAATATTGTGGAGAAACCGCCGTCTGCTGTTCTTCAAACTGGAAGAGTCTTGGCACGACGAAATACGATGGCATATAACCTCCCTCTTGAGGGATTAGGGGACTGCTACATCATCCTCTATTTCGCTGGAATTCTTCCTGCGTTTTCCTCATTTGACGTGTTCATAAATGGAGATATTGTAAAGTCAAACTATACAATAAATAGATCAGAAATCAGTGCTTTATATATTACTAGAAAGAGGATCAACAACTTGAATATAACACTAAGAAGCGTCAACTTCGACCCTCAGATCAATGCATTCGAGGTATATAATATGGTTGATATTCCGCCTGAAGCCTCCTCAACCACAGGTGCCTCACCATCGAATCTTATATGAAAACAGTTTGACTATATTTATCTTTTGCTATAAAAATAGCTTATACGTAAACACTTAATTAAATTGTTAATCCAAACAGGGTCTAACTATTGTTTCTTTTATACTTAATTTTTATTCAAATTGCCTTCCAGTTTCAGCAATGCAGGTTATTCAGCAGTCGACTGGCTTGTATCTAGGATGGCAAGATGATCCATGCTCCCCTTTTCCATGGGATCACATAGATTGTGAAGGAAACTTAGTTACATCATTGTGTGTGAACGAACTCATTACGTTCTTCAATGATTAAGCTGTAATCCGATTATTTATCCAAAACTTATCACTATACTCTAATAGCAATAGAATTTTTTCAGGACTCTCTCAGACATAAATTTGAGATCAATTAGTCCAACATTTGGTGACTTGTTGGACCTTAAAACATTGTAATTTTCTTTCTACTATTTGAACATAATCAATATGTGTGATGATGATCTGATCATATATATTATGTATTTATCAGGGATTTGCACAACACGTCACTTGCTGGCGAAATCCAGAATTTGGGTAGCTTGCAAAGTCTTGCAAAATTGTAATACTCGAAAAAGCACGACACTTTCAGCTTAGGTTTTAACTTAATTTCTAAGCAAAGATTGATAACGACTGCTCGGACTTGCAGGAACCTTAGTTTCAATCAGCTGACATCCTTTGGTGTAGAGCTGGAAAACTTGATAAGACTTCAAATTTTGTGAGTCTCCACTTTAAAGGCTTTGGATTATAGCACAAAATCAAAATTAGAACTTCAAATAATACTTAGTAATTTTATCTCTTTTCTATCTTTTTGTTTTTCCTTACATGAAGAGATTTGCAAAGTAATAGTCTCTCCGGATCAGTGCCGGATAGCTTGGGAGAGATAGAAAACCTCCACTTACTGTAAGTGAGCTACACAAAATCAGTTCAACAATGGAAATTCGTTTTTCATTTAATTTTCTGTTTCTTTCTCTATTACTTTTCCTACAAGTTAAACAATGTCTTTGATTCTACAGGAATCTAGAAAACAACAAACTACAAGGTCCACTTCCACAGGCTTTGAACAAAGACACTATAGAGATCAGGTAAAATATTAGTTTGTCGATATTCCTCCCAATTACTGGATTGTTCCAGTAGTAGAGAGAGATCTACTACCGGAACCATCCAGTAACTGGAGAGGATCCGTACTCTAAAAAGTATGCACGTTAATATTATTTTGACCTTTTGCAGAACATCTGGAAATTTGTGCCTTACTTTTTCCACAGCCGTGTGCGATGATGCATCATCGAATCCTCCTTCAATTGAGGCACCGCAACTGATTACAGTTCCCGGAAGGAAGAACCATGGACAAAACCATCTAGCAATAATACTTGGCACAGTTGGAGGAGCTGCGCTTACCATTTTCCTAATATGTCTTTCAGTATTTATATACAAAGCTAAAAGAAGATATGAAGCCTTACACAAAACTAGTATGTATTCTTTGACATCATGCATATATATTTTTAGCAGTTCTTTCATGTGTTAAGGGGGTGTTGTTTTGATTAGGGGAAGAAACTGATGTCAGGAACTGGGGTGCAGAAAAAGTATTTACCTACAAAGAAATCAAAGTAGCTACTAGCAGTTTTAAGGAAATCATAGGAAGAGGAAGTTTTGGATCTGTTTACCTTGGAAAGCTTCCAAACGGAAAATCAGTTGCTGTCAAAGTTCGGTTCGATAAATCCCAACTCGGGGTTGATTCTTTTATCAATGAGGTTCATTAACTGAATTCATGTTGTATATTTCACTATAATTTATGACTGAATAGAATCTCTTGTTGTGAGAACAATGGTTCTGTCATAAACTTATATTTTCCCTTTCCTATCTTCTGTTGCACCTAGATTCATCTCCTGTCAAAGATCCGCCATCAAAATCTCGTGTCTTTGGAAGGATTTTGTCATGAATCAAAGCATCAGATATTGGTTTATGAATACTTGCCGGGTGGATCCCTGGCTGATCACCTCTACGGTACGATATTCTTGAAAACACATACCTGCTAGAGTTCTCTGTCTAACAATGACCTTTTATTCTCCTTTTACTAGGTGCAAACAGCTATAAAACTCCGTTAAGCTGGATGCGAAGGTTGAAAATTGCTGTCGATGCGGCAAAAGGTACTGCATTAAGGGTTTATTTGGATCAGCTCATTTTAACTTTATCTACTTGTGCTAACAATATCATACTTAAGCTCACTCTCCTTTTGTCAAGGATTGGATTATTTGCATAACGGAAGTGAACCGAGAATCATACACCGTGATATCAAGTGTAGTAACATCCTCTTGGACGTAGATTTGAATGCCAAGGTCTGTGATTTCGGTCTCTCTAAGCAGGTAACCAAAGCAGATGCAACTCATGTCACCACTGTCGTCAAGGGAACTGCTGGTTATCTAGACCCGGAGTATGTTATTGAAATTCATAAAACTAACTATTCTTTCAAACCTTACATCAAATTAACACCAATTTTCCATACATAGGTATTATTCTACTCAACAGCTTACTGAGAAAAGTGATGTATATAGCTTCGGAGTTGTTCTATTGGAACTCATTTGTGGAAGAGAACCATTGATTCACTCGGGGACTCCTGATTCATTCAATTTGGTTTTATGGGTAGCCTAAAGTTCCTTTAATTATTTTACAATGCTATAGCTTGGATTTTTCTCTCATAAATCCTACAAGTGTTGTTTGTCACTTTTTCGAACTTTCCTAGTGCAGGCAAAACCCTATTTACAGGCGCGTGCGTTCGAAATTGTGGACGAAAGAATACAAGGAACTTTTAATCTAGAGAGCATGAAGAAGGCAGCCTCTATAGCTGTGAATTCTGTGGAAAGAGATGCATCACAGAGACCACCTATTGCTGAAGTATTAGCAGAGCTAAAGGAAGCTTATGATATTCAGCTCATATTTTCGGAGTCATGTGAAAATGAGAATTGATTTTCATTGACAAACAAGTTTAATTCTTCTACCAAAAGAGATTTTTTTCATGAAACACAGTATTAAACTATTCTGCATTTACAAAAGAATCTTAAATGTCGAACGCTAACCTAGTATATATGGCTAATCAGCTTCAACATGTCGCTTATATGCATATACAATTTCGGAATCATTATTTGTGAATACGCTTACAAGACATTCAGGGACTAAGACAAGTACTTGCTCTTGACATAAAAGAATAAAGCAGTTGAAGCAGCCACAGCGTATGGAAAAATTGTCCAAATTCCCTGTAAAAAACGAAAAAGGTAATGTTTAGTTACACGCTTAACTAACTAAACGATAAGTTTACTGTTCAAAATCGCATTGTTAATACCACTACGGTCGCGACAGTAGCAAGAGCAAATATAGGGCGTTCCCTCAAAAGGAATCCTATTCCAAGCTGATCGCGTAAGAAAATGAAAAGTCGTGTTAGTCACCGCATTAGAGACTTGCTTACTTGTTGTATATAAACAAATAAAGATTAAAACGTTGTTCTTGTAACGTTCCATGCTTCATGTATATATTCACCTGAATCGAAAGTGTGAATAGACCCCCACAACAGACCCCTGCGAAAAACAACTCTGGAGAAATACCCTGCAATCCAAGAAAAACAGTTACTAAGATGTGCATAAACAAGTATAGAAGTTGTTCATCATTTCACAGGAACTGTTTCAAGAATATCAGCATATTGAGACACATATTTAGCTCATTCGTCTTGTTTTTTAATACAAACAATACTTGGTTTAATGTTAAAAACAGAAAATTCTAAAACCATATCCACTATTGCTAGAATACCAACTAACTTCAAAAACTAACCAAGGCTCCTGCAAGGAAAGCTGTAGGGTTTCTCACTCCAAGAGAGAATCGTTCAACTGCAAAATTAAGTCACAAGATCATCATAAATCAACAAAATAATTAAGTGCACTTTGATACAATTAAATACTTATACATAAAAACATAACAGATTTAACCTCTGAAGCACCAACAACTCTGAAAAAAAAGTGTGTATGCGTCCGTGTCAGACAGCGATACGTTCAATTTATTCATTTTTTCAAATTATTAAAAGGTGTCGTGTCTGGTGCCTGTGTTCGTGCTCCATAGGACTTAACACATAAATAAAAAGCTCTTGGAGCTTACCAAAACCAATAAGATTTCCATACTTTTGTACCACATTCGTGATTTCCTTAGCTTTCTCTTTGCCAATTCCTAACTGTTGACACCACCAAAAAAGTCAAATTGTTTTCATGAGCTGTCTTGGAGAGCTTATGAATGTGTCATACGTTGTTCTCATAAGCTCTTCCAAACATTTTCACTGATGTTTATGTCAGCAGATGAGCTCAAATAAGTTAATCCAAACATGCCATATTATGTAGAACTTACCCTTGAAGTAACATCAGCAGATGCACCAGACTGTCTGAAAAGTTTCCCGAAGTAAAACGGTATCATGTCACTAATGCAAACTCCCCTGAAATCATCAATAGTTTTTCGATAAACCTAAAACAATGTGTATATAAAAGAAGTAATAACAATTTTGATAGAATTGCTACTTACCAATAAACCCATAGAACCGTTGATATGATGTATGGAGCATTCCTTGAGAAAGATTCAGCAAACGACTGCCATGTTCCGTCAAGAGACAAAAGCCTTGCTATTGATGTACCAACCTAATAAATTTCTTAAAAGATAATTAAACATAACCGAAGGTGTTTTCGTTACGGAAAGAATTACAACAGAAAAACCACGGAGCGAACAAACATGTGAGGATGTAAAACAGAAGTACCGGTGAAAAGCACGGACCCAAATATTTAAAGCTTCTTCACTAATGAAAAGTCCGCAACCAGCAGCCATAAGTAACCAGAAGTAGATCCATCTGCAGAAAATTCAATTTAAGTCTAGTTGCCAATTTGCCAAATTGTTGAAACAAATGATAGAGAAAACTTCAAGAACAAGTTAAGTGTACCCGGGTGCATATTGCGGAATTACAACACTGAATCCAAACACTTTGAAAGTGAAGCCAGCAGCAACTGGAGCAACTGCTGAAGAGGAAGAACCTTGCGGCAGAATCTGCAAACCGGACGGGGATCCTAGAATTGGCTGCTGGCGAATGGATGCAAATGTAGCTATTGCAGCTATGCCCAGTGCAATTGCAATCATAGCCAGGAACGGGATCTCTGTCTTGCTGTGTCCCTCTTTATCATTTGTTTGAACCTCATTACTCAATCTATCTTGTTTATCTGGTAAGTCCTTAGATTTTAAAGCCTCGTAATTTTTCTCGCCCTCCTGTTTAAAGCATCTAATTCTGTTTCTGTAATGCAAATGTGATTTCATTACGCTGAATACAATACAATAAACTAACTCAGAAAGACAAGTTGAATGACAAAGAAACTAAGTTAAGTTAGTTACCGGAAGAGGTGAGGAAGATGAGAATTTGCAAATAACTTGTGAGGGAAAGGTAAGGAACTAAAGAGTGTAACTGTAACAGGTTGTGTGCTAGAACAGCATATGAGATTGGTTGAGGGAAGGTTTAGGAAAGACCTATGTGTGAAAACAGGTGTAAAAGACATTGTTGGAGCTCAAACAGCTCCAGTCAGTGGCATTGATGATGAGGTTAAGAATGAAAGGTGAAATTATGGTCCATGTGGTTGGTTGAATGTGAGTCGTTATCGAATTTAAGGAATATGCCTTGTTATGTATGTGAAGTGGTGGCTCTATGGCATGGGATGATAAATCATCTTTAGACTTAGACCAAAGATTAGTGGTACATGTAACATAACTAACAGCTTTTGATACTTTTGATAAATCATCTTTTGACACTGTTTTCGAGCATGGATTTTTTTTATAGGCTTAATAATATTTTTGGTCTTCGTGTTTTGACTAACTCACGAAATTGGTCCTTACATTTTAAAACAGAACAGTGATTAAATTATGTTCTATGTAATAAAGTAACTTTGGAGCAATAAAACCTAATTGATAACACAAGTTACATATCTGAACCAATATTTCGATTTGCTTTCGCTGTCATGGTCGATTTGATAGAAGATGGAATACGAAGAAGAAGGAGGAGGCAAGGCGTTCTATTTGGGAAGGAAGAAACAAAGACTTGATTTCTAAAAATGATTTTAATGTTTTTGTCATATTTAAGAAATTAATTTGATGAATTAATATTTTAAATTTCCAAATATGCATTGCCACGTAAGTTTTCTTCTGGTCACATCACTTAAAATTTTGACACATCAGCGTTTTTGGAGGGGAAATAGGGACTAGGACTAATATTGCAACCAATTACATAGTTTAGGGAATGCTTTGTTCTGTTTTAAAATGTAAGGACCAGTTTTGTGTGTTGGTCAAAAGATAGGACCAAAAGTGTTATTAAGCCTTAATTATACGTGACATTTAATTTTGTTTTCTTATTATTAATTATAGGTGAGGATGTTGAAAATCATATATTATCATTTATGTTTCGGAAATACTTCTACGGAGAGACATATCCAATATACACGAAAAAGATGTTGCACGTGAGCAACATTCTATTTATGTCAAAAATTAATTTAAAGGTATCTCTGAAATCACTACGGTATGTCATTGATGGTGTTTTAAGTTGATTGATTTGATTTAATTAAATCAATGACAATTTCGGAGATGCACTTTCGAAAATGTCAAGCGAGAAATTCAATAAAACACCACCCTTTTATGTTCTTCTTCTTTATGACAAAACACTACTATTCTATCAAAATTCTTTAAAAACCTTTCATTCTCAATCAGTTGTTGTACGCCAAAATAATATTTTTGTGTTTTATCACATCAAAATAAACAAATAAAATTGAAATTTAAGATAAAAAAAACGTGTTTTTCCTTCCACATTGCTTGCATTAATAATATTAGGTTGCATGTGTTCCGCATGTGCACTTTCGGATTGTTGTAAAGTTGAATTTGAATATTAAACTTCTAATATGTTTGGTTGTAGATATGGTGGATCTTGATATTTTTCCTAAAACTATTGTTTATGTGGATGTTAAATAGGAACCGGGTGATGTCGAAAATGATATTAAACTGATTGATATCGAGGTGGGTGTCAAACTGGTTGTTGTCGATGTAGATGTTCGCGAATAATTTACAACTAAATAGGAGTTTGTTAAGCGTGAACATATGCTCCAAAGGAATCGCACGGAGGCCGCCAAACTTGTGCTGGATGTTATAATTGGGAGATCTGGTAATGATTTTGATAGAAGACATGCATTGGTAACAATGATATGTGAAATAAGTGGCATGTACCAAATAACTTTTTTGGAAGTTGAACGGGATGACACTGGTTTGAGAAAGTGTGACTGTCCTTTTAAGATTCATGGATACTATATGGCAAACAGTAAATAGACATTTAATGTGGTTCTTATACACATAATTATTACTTGTGTCACCAGTTAGTCGGACATTCCATTATATGTCGCCTTAATATTGGGGAGAAGGAACTTGTTTTTGACATGACATTAAATATGGTGCCGCCCAAAAACATACTTGAAATATTGAAACGGAAAAGATCTCAAAATGTCTCAAATATCAAGAAAATATATAATATTTGTGTCGTAAACAACAAGGTGATAAGAGGATCAAGAACTGAAATGCAACAACTGTGAAGCTTCTGGATGATGATCACTATGTTTCTAGGTACATAGTGTGTGAGGATGGAGTCACTATTCGAAATATATTTTAGACTCATTCTGATTCCATCAAGTTGTTAACATATTTTCCAATGTGCTTATAATTGATTCAACATACAAAACAAACAAATATAGGCTTCCACTTTTGGAAATTGTTGGTGTTAGTGTGACGGATATAACTTTTTCAGTGACTTTTACTGTAACACCCCATTTTCCCATATGAATATTTATAATGAAATATACGACAAATGCATCGGAATTCATAATGGGATGCCACATAAATCATAAAATCCATAAAGTTCTCAAAATACGTTATTACTTCGTGTATCCAAAAATGGTTATTTGGCAGCGGAAAATCAACATAAAAGTAGTTCATTGGCATTCTAGCCTTAACAACAATTCAAATCCATAATACGTGGTCCATCATAAGTTTAAAAGAAAAGTATAAAACATTTGAAATCATGCAAAACATAATGAAAATCCCAAATCCCGTGTTACATATCAGAGCGACTCCTAAGACTCGATCTGATAACATCACTTCAAGCACTACTCGGATACTTAATATTTGTACTCCCGAAGAGTACAGACACAACAACACAAAAGGGGTAAGAATTTCATTCAATAATTACATGGTGAAATAAAACATGCTAAGGAGCAGTAAATCACAACATACAAAAAATTCATCACAAACAACCATCATCACATCATACAACATCAATTCAGTGTTTATGCAATGCAATAGCCTACATCAACATGCATGTGGTACCATCAAGGTATAAGCCTTCAACTCAATACTAATTGGGCAATAGTAGAGCATAATCCCTCAACATAACGCCAATCCAGGCCAACATCAGGGCATAAGCCCTCATATATGAATGCATGCAATATGAACATGCAACAACGTGAAATCATACAACCACAAGGCATAAGCCTTCATTACCATGGACATTTAATCCATTTGCATCATCCTCATCATAACCACCAACATTGCCTCATACCAGCATCATCAGCAAAAGAACATCACAAGAAAACAACCCACCGTTTCGGTGTAACAACGGGGAATAATTCCTATTTTAACTTAGTTACTAGAATTATCCTTCTAAATCTTTATTTTATTCTACCTACTTCAAGTTTATGGTGTTATCTATCCAATATTTCGAATGGATCATCAAACGGAGTTACGGTTCAAACGTTATGGTCGTTACAAAAATTATCAAATATTGGGCTTCCCTCAGGTTAGATTGTGTTGACCCTTGCATCGACCACTCCTGACTTTTGCATCGATCGCCCCTGCTGTTGTTGTTTGCCTCTCACTGATGTTTCTGTTTGCGTCGACCGCTTCCCTGTTTGCATCGGCGCAAATTGTTAAATTCTGAGTTTTTCTGCGATTTCACTAAATTTTGGATCCTAAAACATCATCTAATCATAGGAATTCATCATCCATTATCATCCTATGTTTCTACATCAATTATATATCATTTGGGAATTATTATTCATCTTATATTTCATCAAATCCTCATCTAAAATCCTCAAATCCTAATTCTCATTACTTATAGGTTCTAGATTGGGGTTTTATACCACAATCATCGCAACAACAATCACAACATAGCATCACATAACTATATATAATCATATACAACACATCAATTCAATTAAACCAAACAAATTATGCATCAATCATATAAAACAACCTAAGAGGGAAAGGAACCCTCACTACTCTCTCATGTAAGATCACCAATTAGAGAATCCATTCACCCCTCTTACCTTATGATTATTGTTAGCTTTTGATTCCTCTTCTCGTTTTACAAATTTCTCTCTGCCTCCATGTCTCCTTGTGCCCTAACTTCTCCTTTTCTCTTCTCCCAATATCTCGATCGTACCAAATGATCGTACAATTCTCTTTTCCCTTAGCTATCATAAGGACCCCTAATATCTTCCTCAATTGCCCTCACTTTTTCTTCTAATTACCATCTTGTCCTTATTTTCTCTACACTTCTATTATTCTATTATTCTAATTACTTAAATCCAAATAATTCCAATTAATCACTATTAAATCTAAATAATTACAAAATAATTATTTAAATTCCAAATCTTCTTACTAACTCATCTTACACCACATAACTCATCATCTTAAACACCTTATTCATCAAATCATCACTATTTGCATCACAATTGCATCACGAATACACATCATATACCATCACAAGGACTCACACAAGGCATCAAAACATCATAAATAAGCATCAAAACATAAAAACACCATCTACTTCACATAGAATCATATAATCATACTAAATTAATTAATTAAATAATTAATCTAAAACTCGGGGTGTTACATTTGCATTTTTAGAAATCAAAAAAAAAGGAAAACGTTATATGGGCTTTGGAAGTATGCAAGACTACATTGAAGGACCATGAAAATATGTCAAAGGTCATTGTAACTAATCATATATCGCACTGATGAATTTGGTTGCAAAGGTGTTTCCTACATCTTATGCATTACTTTGTAGGTATCACATAACAAAAAATGTGAGAAATTAACTTAAACCTGTAGTAAGGACCAAATAAATCAAGAGTGGAGATGAAAAATGGACAAAACTGGCGTAGTAGTGGAAAGAATAATGGATTCCTGGAATGGTGTTATAAATTCTTCTACAGAAGAGTTATACACATAATCTATCATTCAGTTCAGGAAGGTGTGTACCAGATATGCAGATTTTCTGAAATATGTTGAAAGTACAATTCTAAACCAGGTGAATAAGAAGATTGTTTGTGCTTGGACCGATCAAGTTAGACACTTTGGCAATACAACAACTAACAAAGTTGAATCTGCACATGCTACACTGAAGATTTGGTTGGGAAATAGTAAAGGTGATTTTTGTAGAGGTTGGGACTTCATGAACCAAATG